CCTCCCGCTCCTACTCGATATGACAACCTAGTGCTCGATTTACTACTAGGTTGAGCTAGCTAACTAGGTAAAAAGGTACATTTACCTAGCTCCGCGTCGTAGATAACCGTCCGGTTACGTCTGTGTTAGAGCTAGCTCCTCTCCATAGACGATTTTTGCTTGGGATGTTCACCATCAATTTTATGATCGACGTCAACTCCTCGACGATCTCGGTATGTTGATCTCCAATTTGATTTCCAGTAGACTAATATCCTTTCCTTAGGCGTGTGGCTTAGCGAATGGTTTCTGTCAAGCGCCGTGTCTCACTCAAGCCGATCTAACATTCAATTTTAGTCTGGCATTCACATGTTTCTACAACTCCTTGAATTTTGTCGATTTTGCATCCCGATATTTGCGCAGAAACATCACTCAAGGTTTAACCATGGCCGAATTCGAAGACTTTCAGGGACTCGTTCGCACTCTGCTCGGTATGTCTTTATTTCTCAAAAAAAATAAATAAAACTTTTTGTTTTACTATTCGCTTCATTTAGTCGAAACATTGCATACAGGTCGTAATATGCGCTATTGAGTGCGCAGCTTCGGTTTGCCTGCCAATCAGTCGAAGCTCGTGTCGGGCGTCAACAGCGTACGGAGGAGGCATCGTCGACTGAAAAGATCACTGTGGCCAAGTTTTTCGCAAAGAAGTACAAGCCACTGAAACATCCCCCCTCAGCTATGTATCGATGCCATGAAGGGCGATCAGTCGCGAGCCCATTGGTTGCTGATGGAGACGGTCCAAGTTAGTGAACTTATCAAGATTCGCTTTTCCACTCATAAATTAGATGTGCATGTATTTCAACGTTCACTGAGACCACTTGATAGTGACCAACGTGCTCGTGTCGCGAAGAAAAGCGATCATTAAATCAGAACAACGGTACAACGAGATCATGCATAATGTACACTATCGCGATTTTCGCAATGATCCTTATCTCCAAACGTTCAATGTCCGAGGGGACATACGAGAAATGGTCCAAGCCAAAGATAGATCTCGGGACTCGTTCTTCAAACATACTGCACTCTCCTTCTATTCAGCACCGCGTTCTGCCACCGCCCGAAATCAGGTGGTCAGGGTAATTATGATGCGGTCGAACTAATGATCTCATTCGAAAAGTGAACAATTAATAATCGATTCTACAGCACACACAAAATTCAGAAATGCGATATCATCAGTTTTGGTCGGAGGTGGTCGGATGCAAATATGATCTCCATTCCCAAAGATTTTGAAAATCGACGTCCTCCGATCAGTTGTCACCCGTTCGCTTCAGCACTTCTCAACACGTTCCTTGTTTTTCAGTTATTACAACGTTACGGCATTGTAATCAGATCGAAACCGACTTGCGAAGCCGAACAGACGAAATCGAGAAGGTCACGAAGAGCGCCAGTCATGATAGGTGGTAATTAGCAATTATTATTCTCAACGAAACATCAAATGCAGTCTACGTTGATGTTATATGAAATTGTTAACTCTTCACTAGCAGTATCATTCAGCCTAGACGAAATCTTTCGAACTGAATCTATCCCAATACCTTCCACCACTTGAAGTAAAGTTTTTCTTGCTTGATCAAAATGTAACGCGGGTGATGGTCAAAAACGTGAAGTGAATCTGTCTTTAAAGTACAGGACGTAGTACAAAACTGAGTCTTTACTCATGCCGTCATCAATGACAGGCGTCAGCTAAAATCTTGAACATCCTTATTTACAAAATCAGGCTTTCGATAGATTCGCTTCGGGAGTATTACATGGAGTTCAAACACTTTCACACAGCCCATCATTGAGTCGATTGACATTTAATGATTCGCAGAGTACGACTGATCAGCGAGGTTCACTACAAGTAAAAGAGACAAAAGCAGAGTAGGCTCGAGAAAAGCAACCCCCAAAACACAAGAAATTCCAGAGAGATCATATCGTTTTCTGTCCTGATCACAGCTGAACTTTGTGGGATACAGATTTTCTAATAGACTTTTCTTTAGTGTTCGGATGGCGTTGAACATACATGATCGAGATGAGTACATTTTTTCATTTCAAATAGATGCGAGCATTTGCTTAGAAAATGTGGCTCGCTAATCTGAAGGACATGACGCCCACGATGAGCTCATTGTTAACGGTAAAAGCTGCGCCAAACACTGGCGTTAACTGAATACGATTCACAACCCGGTGCTCGAACTCCGTGCTGTCTACCACAACGAGTTCTTCAAGACCAGCATGAACCTTCGATTTACGAGCATGCTTAATTATCACAAAAACCTGGTCGTCTACGATCGGATGATAGCGACGAGTTGTGTTCCTATCAGGTTCATTCTTAATACAATCGGGCGATACGGATATGGGCTGCACCTTGGTTAGATTTGGAGCATTGTAGATCAGCAAATTGTCTTCCGTTGGCTGCGTGCCTTCGTCCGGTGAACAGCTATTAGGAGCTAGAAATTGTTTTCGCATGCGACACAAACGTATGTCCTCTCTAATAGTGTACCGTAACATCGCTTTTTAGATTTCCCTACATCATATGACCACAGCTAAATGTTTTAGAGGACTAAGGGCAGTTGAAAGTGGAAATACAAAATATTCAAAACAAAAGAATTGAGCTGTTACGTCCCATTATCTATACATTCTGAATTAGTGGTGTCCATATTTCGTTGAGTTCTTCTGTTATACCCTTTTCTATAAACGTTTTTTTTTTCAATTTTCGGATGAGCATGACTCATAATCGACTGAATAGATGTCGAATGACTAACGAATACACGAATACTGTATTTATACAGTACTATAAGCAGTTGGACAGTGCTCAATGATTATTTTTATGGATAAAGACTCTTTAATCAATGATATTCAATTCTGTCTCGTTCTCCTACTTTCTAGTTTTTCCAATCAGGTAGGAGACACATGTAGTTTTGTCATCTACCGCCGAGCCTTACGAAATGTTTAACGAATATTTTCATTCATGTTACTGTCCTGTTCAACGTGCTTCCGTCGAACTTATTGTTCATTTAGTCTTTTCTATTCACAAAAAAATTCGGACATTTTGGTTTCTTTATACGGCATTCAAAGCGCTATTAAATCTATGAATAAAACACAAACTACAAGCACAAACGGTTTTTCTCTAAAATTCATCAAACTATGTCTTTCTGTTCTCCAAGTAAGCCCAGCTGTCTGATATGTTCAACTGTGTAAATACTATCTATTTGTACGTGAGAGAAAACATTAGGTCTCTGAATCATTTTCGATGGATAGTTTTGATCGTTGATAAAAGCAAAATTGAAATGAGATTGATACTAACTAATTCGGCAGTTTCAATTATTGTTCTTTAACCTAAAATGATTTTTGCTTTATATTCGTTTCATTGGCGTTGGTCAAAAGTGAACAAGAATGTAGTTCATAATGCTATGTTGCTAGAGAATCTTACATAAAGTGAATTCTCATATAACCAAAAGCAATATCGTCCAGAAAGCTGTGGTATGAGTATTAAAAACAAAAAAGTTACCAAAACTATCGAGCAGTTCCAAAAGCCACAGCAAGATGAAAATGATCTGATCAGTATTCGGTTTCTCCGTATATATATTATATTTTATTTGTGATTGAGTAATACTTAAATATACATTAATAAGATAAAGGAAGAAAAAACTGGAGTAATACAGCACAAGCAAACAGGACTTGGAAGTAATTCTGAGAGCACTTATAAATTCCTAAGATAGGCGCAGAAAGCAGGGGTTGATAAAGAAAAAATTACTGTTTTAATTTTATCATTCCATCTTATATAATACATCATACTTGTAGATCTATCTACGCGTCTGACTTTCTTCGTCTAATAGACAAAACATGATCACGATAGGAAGAATATGTTTCGGAAAAGTATATTACACAGTAAACGCCTCCCTTTCTGGTGATATTAGCTGGTCCCATTGTGTAAAGTACACTTGATCTAACAGCGTGTTAAAGCGGAAAACATTACTTTTAAAAAGCATCGGTTTTGATCGGAGGATGTAGCCTTAGTATTGTTCAATACAACTGTCAATTCTGAAAGATAAAATAGTCCATTAATTTTACAATAATGCTTATTAAAAGTTTATGGAGTCCTGCGCCTTCCACTATTCGACAATTAAGACTGGATATCATATATTTGTAACAAAAAAGAATTTTAAAATTGTTTTGCAAAGTAGACTTCCAGTAGCTGTTCAAAAAGCCAGATTGTATCTCGATAGTTTGTACAAAGAAACCACAACAGGAATATTGTCCTATTGTTCGAAGAAAAATATGACGAGGATGATGTCTGCTAGCGTGTATTATTACATACTTAATCCACCTTTTTCCAATTTACTCACTTATGCATAACTAGTCTTTTGTTTTCTTTCTTTTCTAATACTATAATGTAATATTTATTTGTTTCCCGGTAGACATTTCACTTTTTCTATTATCTGTATTATTTGAAGATTTTTTATTGAAGCGGTTGATACCGCTACGAGATATGAGCGGCGGGTAGTTTCTCGGCCAAATGAACGAGAAGCAAGCGACGTTTATTTAGCTTGTCAAAATGGAGATTTGGAAAGAGTGAAATAAATGTTACCAACCGTTCCCTATGAACAATTAAACATATTAGAACCCAATGGAAGTACACCATTACATGCTGCTGCATATATTGGTCACATGGTGATTGTTCATCTTCTTTCACATCAATCTGGTTGTTACGGACAGAAGCGTAATCGTCATGGTTATGATGGCTATGAGGAAGCGAAACCAAATGATATCCGTCACATGTTTCACCGTCCATCAGTCAGGAACCGATTTTTTGATGACGATGGCAATAATGATATACAGCAATTAATTGTGATGGATTAGTAGAATTATAATCGCCAAGAAATGGATAAAATGATATGAAACAAACGAACAACTGCAACAAAATAGGTAATGCTCAAGCTCTTTCTGACTGACGATTCGGCCCCCATCTGGGTGGTAAAATCACCAGATACTTGAATGATAGTTCGTCAGACGATCTAGAGCTCGTAGAATATACGACAGATCGAAGGGCATTTCTATAAAACATTTAAAAAGGGACAATCGATGGTTTTCCGGAATTGACGAATAATGATAAGAATTTTATGAGGATATTCACATTGTAAAATTAATAGTATTAATCTTCAAGAAATAATGACATTTTTGACAATAATAAGTGTTTCAAACTTTTTTGGCTTTCATTATCACCACCTGTGCTTTTCAAGAATATCTTAATATGATGTAATGAGAAATAAGCAAGTCGGGCAATTGCTTCCATTCATGGATTTTGTTGCTGTATAAAAGGGTTTCAAAACAGAACGAATCATACTCAGTCCCACTCATTCAATGTTAATTCAACAGCTATTAATTTAGTTGCTTCTTGTTGCTTTAATTTTACAATGTGCAGTTTCAATTATTGTTCTTTAACCTAAAATGATTTTTGCTTTATATTCGTTTCATTGGCGTTGGTCAAAAGTGAACAAGAATGTAGTTCATAATGCTATGTTGCTAGAGAATCTTACATAAAGTGNTCCGTATATATATTATATTTTATTTGTGATTGAGTAATACTTAAATATACATTAATAAGATAAAGGAAGAAAAAACTGGAGTAATACAGCACAAGCAAACAGGACTTGGAAGTAATTCTGAGAGCACTTATAAATTCCTAAGATAGGCGCAGAAAGCAGGGGTTGATAAAGAAAAAATTACTGTTTTAATTTTATCATTCCATCTTATATAATACATCATACTTGTAAATCTATCTAAAAAAGGTTACGGGACATTCCTTTGTATTTTCTACCTTTCTCCCTTATAAAGCAATCTTCGTCTTTGCTATTTATACAGGATCATCGTGTGAGTAGACAACACTTATGGTAAAAAAAGAAACTTTCTATCAAGCCCGCTTGAGGCGTGGCATAGTAGGTGGTTGCGGGACAAATTGTCAGTCAAACCTCACATAACTTCAGTAAAGTGGAAATTACTTGGTAGTGAAAAGCGATAGAAACGTCGGATTTTCGCTGTTGTCTGTTCTATATATTCATTGGGATCATTTACCTCATTCGAACGCTACTATTTTTATCAGAATCACTCATATATAGGTCATTTTTTCATTTCATTTTCACAGAAAGACGCTCTTTTACACATCCTGCATTATTTCGTTTTAAATGAAACGAAAGTTCTTGAATCTAGCAAACATGGTGTACAGCAAAAGTGTTAAAGTGTATATGAGAAATAGTGTATGAGATGTAATTATGGTCATGAAATGTGAAAAATATATTTGTAAGAAAATGATAACTTTACATCACAAGTTTAAAATGGCCTATAAATGACACATAAATGCCACATCTACGATCCTAGAGATATGATATAAAAATCATACATAAATAGATCATTTTTTCATTCCATTTTCACAGAAAGACGCTGCTTTACATACCGTGCACTTTTTCGTTATAAATGAAACGAAATTTCTTGAATCGAGAAAAAGTGTGTAACAGCAAAAGTGTTAAGTGTATAACAGAAACAGCAAGTATAACACCATCTTAGGATCTTAAGAGAGACTTCGCGACTCAGTCGAGCATTGCTTCTGAGGTCAGTGGAATGGTCGAAATTAACATACATGTTTTTTCATATTTTTGGATTCTACGATCAAAAGTGGGGTTATGAAAAATTTTTTAGCCCGTTTGAACTTATTTTGACTGAGTTCTGAA